TACAGAAAAAACGTTATTTACAAGAACACAAGATGCTCAGAAGTAAACCAGTTACACAAACACGTGCATCGTCCACCTAACCAGGCAGCAAGTGTACAAATCCAGGAGGGCCGGGAGGCTGGTACCTTCTCGTCCAGGGCCTTGTGGTGCTCGAACAGTGATTTCAGCGCCTTGAGCACCTCCACCTCGCTGGACACGCCGGCGGGGGACTGCGCCTGCCGCTTGACCACCGTCATCCGGAGGGACCGCTCGTGCCGGGAGACCAGGCACTCCAGGTGCTCCAGCAGCAGCTGCGGGGCGGGGCCGGGGCAGCACCTTCAACCGCAAGCTTGAATCCGGGGCCAATGACACCCCTCGGCCTCACGCTACAGCCAAAACCGTGCTAAGCAGGTCGGAATCCCGCCAGTCCAGTCCAAAGTTAGAGTGGACTTCCCTGGTGGCCCAGCAGTTAAGACTCCACACTTCTGCAGGGGTCATGGGTTTAATCCCCATTAGGGAAAGTAAGATCCCACACAAAGTGAAGCATGGACAAAAATGTGAGTCAAGAGAAACCCCCCTCAAATGTACTAAAATTACATTAGCTCTCAACATAAATTTGAAGCAAGGTATGAGAACCCTGAACTGATCCACCCTGGTATGCTCAGCGGGAAGATGTGAAAAATGAGCTGAAAACCAGAGTTCAAAGACAGCAACGCGGAGCCCAGCAGTGAGCCCCGTGGGGCAAATGTCAACACGTGAGACCCCCCTACTGACCCTGGTGTTGTTCCTTTCTGCTTTCAGCTCCGCGATTTCCTCTTCTCTTTCAAGAAGCTGCTCCCTGCATACATTTAGTTCTTTAGTAAGTGCTGCGAACTCCTAGAAAACAGTTAAATGAGTAAGTGACTAAATGTAAACACAAATCAAAAAGAGACTGAGACTCTGAAGACTGACCCTGTCAAGCCTCTCCAGGCTCCCTCCACACAAAGGATCTCCCTGCCCCTCCGGAGAAGAGGGGGTCCGCTGACCCCAAGACCACACAGACCAGCACAACTTAGACCGGCCTTCAGCTTCCACCTCAACCTGGCAGGCCCGCGCCAGGGGAGGACCTGGAATCCAAGCCTGCCTTCTCCAGACCCAGGGAAGTCTGAGATACTTTCCTAAACATAAATCCTAACAACAAAGTGGATGAAGAGATTCTTCAACGACACACAGACAAGTGGCCCAGAACCCCTGGGGAGAGCGAGGAAAAACGTAAGGTCCGCACGGCCGCCAGGCTCTGGAGCACTCCCCTGGGGAAAGGCTGACGGCACCCTAAGGCCAGTGTTAGCCTGACTCCACTGAAGTCACCCGTCATTCAATAAGCTGGGTAAAATGGTAAATTCATGCTATACGTATTTTATCACAATTTACACGCGTGCGCACACACACACAACTCTTTGGAGACAAGGTGGCTCCTAAGAGCATCGATCAGCTGCAGAACGTGAACAGCCCTTCACATCAGGATTTCCGCGCAGACTGGCAAACACAAAGCTCCAGTCCCGCTGGGAAGAAGCAATCCAGCGTGTCCTCACACCAGACAGACTCTGCCCACGCAGCACGGGCACTGAGCGTCATGGCTGGGAAGCGGGCAGGGAGGGGAGCCACGGGGACTAGTCTCCTCTCCACGGCTCCCCAGGATCGAGGGAAAGATGCAGACGCTGTTCTCCGAGTGGGGGGATGTCTACGGGAAGAGCAGGCTTTGGAGGGAGCGCTAAATGTCCAGTTTCAGACAAGCTTCAGCTCAGACGTACTCAGGCCTTCAAGTGGCAGTGTCAAGTCCAGAGCCTCCCAGCCTGCAGTCCTAGGCGACACAGGCCAAGGTGAGACCGAGCGGCAAGGCGCTGAGCGTGGGCAAGAGGAGCCGAGGTTTGAGCCCAGTGAGAAGCCACTGCTGGGAAAGGAGAGGCGCCGGCAGGGGAGGCCAGGAGGGAAGGTACCATCTCAGGAGTCAGGAGCCCTGCGAGGAGCGGCCAGAGTCAACGGGTGCCTGGAGAGGGTCTGCTGAAGTGGAGGCCAACAGTGGCCAGGACCACAGCAGGTCAGCAGCCCTGGCAGGGTCGAGAGCCCAGTGGACAGAGGATGGGGGGGGAGGGCAGCGGCGAGCACATGCTCGCTCTCGGGAGGGACTCTGCAGTCAAGCGCTGAAGGCAATCGGGCGACGGTTACAGGAGACGCAGGGTCAGGAGAGCTCTGATACAGGATGAGCTGACGATGGGGGTCCGGGGCGGGGTGGGAGCTGAGCGGGCAGAGGGCGCCTTTCCCGGGCGCACGGCTAGGTCAGATCCATGGGCCCAGATCCAGATGAACAGCGAGCTGGTGGGGGCACTTTCTGGAAGTCCTGCTTTAATCTCTCCCAATTTCACTGAGAAAACAGATGCCTCTGCGCTGAGAGGAAGGGTGGGTGAGACTCACTGGGGGGAGGCGGGAGGCAGCCGTCACGGAGCAGGGCAGGACACCCGGACCGCGGCCGTGGGCCTCCCAGTAGACTGCGCGCCGCGTGGACGGGGGACTGACACAACAGGAGCAGGTTCCCACCGGGTGAGAGGTGTGTGTGTGTGTGGTGTGTGTGTGTGTGTGTGTGTGTGTGGTGTGTGTGTGGGGTGTGTGGTGTGTGTGTGTGGTGTGTGTGGGTGTGTGTGGGGTGNGTGTTGTGTGTGTGTGTGTGTGTGTGTGTGTGTGTGTGTGTGTGTGTGTGTGTGTGTGAAAGGCTGGAGAGGCTGTCATGGTAGTGGTCTGTGGCGTTTCCGTGGGGGAAGACAACTGGGGAGACGTGGAAGGCCGAGGGACCAGGCATCATGGGGGGTGTGGCGAGCAGGCCCTGGAGGCACGACTGTGCGGCTGTCTCCCCACTTCCACTCGCAGAGGACCCTTCCCCACATTCCCACCAGCTCCCTTTTTTAACCCCTTCAACACCAGACGCAAGCCTGTATCTTTTATACACAAAGATTCCCCTAATAGCGCCAAACTGTCTTCATTCCCCTATGAAGAGGCTATCTAATTCCCATCATTTTGGCTAAATATAAGTGCTTCTTACAATGAATCCAACAGTTAAAACCGTTCTATGAGATACCACTTTGAATACACTAGAAGACAAATGTATAGAACTTCACAATTATTTTTACTCCTCAGAGAAAAACTCTTCTCTTTGCTCAAAAGAATTCAACTGAAAAAAAGTATCAAAGCAAATTAAACTTAGGAGTTTAGATAAACATTAGACAGGAAATTCCAAAGTTTAAGATTCCAAAAGCATGTTCATATGTGCACTGCATTTGTATTATTTTTGCAGAAAAAAACTAGGAGAGCCTGAATAAATTCCAAATATGTGCAATAAATGACCTACACGATTTCCACGATAAGAACCTAATTGTCAGCATCCAAACTTTTTTCTCTTTAGAAAAAAATGTTTGTTTAAAAAATACTGTAAGCCAGTTAAAACTGACATTCTATTCACTGTAATTAAAGTTTGAAGTTCACTCTTTGAAAGTGAACAGATACAACAATCATGGGAATATTTTCAGTTTAAAATATAAGTCTGTACAATACAGATTTGCATTTCCATTTGACATTTTCTAGGACTCAGACCAGGGAAAATAACATCCAACCATTAACGTCAGTTTTAAAAACCTGATTTCACATAATGTGTTAAAATACCAATACTCATCATTTCTGAGTCTGGACAACAGGATCAGGTTACTCAAACCAGACATGACTGGTCCAAGTCCACAATCGAGCTGATTTCACAGCACGTCCTACAGACGGGATGCAACATTCGGCTTGGGAAGTGACGACCCTGCTCTCTCCCCAGACACGGCAGGAGGACTTGGGGTGGGGGTGGGTGGGGGCAGGGAGAGCGGCAGGGTCTGGTCAAGGTCCACCCTCACGGGGTCCCAAACCCTTCCGTCTCCTGCCCACATCCCATGTGCTTCACCTGACCGCCCCGTGTCACACACAGTTCTACACCTTCTAATCTCCATCAATAGTTCTAGTTTTTAATTACTTATTATTTTTGCTAACCTGCTGAGAAAAGAATAAAGCTCCACTGGAGGCAAAAAGTGTATGTCCTCTTAGTAAAGGGGCATTGGAGTGTAACAAAGGATGGAAATGGGGTCTAATTCTTAGAAAACCAAAATGAACACCCGAAAACTGACTTGCAGACCTCACTCAGATCATCTACCAGCCGCAGCTATTTGCTACAGTCAGGTGTAAAACTAGATTAAACTCTGAATTCAAAGATAATTAGAGGCTTACATATTCAAATGAACCAGCAAATCACATATTTGAAACTCCAATGTATTGATTAAAAGTTGCTTAGAAACGTTATGTGTAACTGTTTATATTGTGACCTAATGATGGGAGGATGACAGAGGGACACTTAGAAAGAAAAAGACCNTGAATGCTGAGCTTTAAGCCAACTTTTTCACTTTCCTCTTTCACTTTCATCAAGAGGTTCTTTAGTTCTTCACTTTCTGCCGTAAGGGAGGTGTCATCTGCGTCTCTGAGGTTATTGATAGTTCTCCTACAATCTTGATTCCAGCTTGTGCTTCCTCCTGCCCAGTGTTTCTCATGATGTACTCTGCATGTAAGTTAAATAAGCAGGGTGACAATATACAGCCTTGACTTATTTAAAGTCATGAATGTGATAGCACTGGATTTTCAACCACCAATTATTTGCAAGCAGAGAAAAACGCATAAGCAGTTCAAAGGTCCCAATACATGTGATTTTTCTTATTTCTAAGAATTGTTGTTGCTGTTTAGTCGCTCAGTTGTGTCTGACTTTGCGACCCCATGGACTGCAGCATGCCAGGCTTCCTTGTCCTTCACTATCTCCCAAAGTTTGTTCAAACTCATGCCCATTGAGTTGGTGATGCCATCCAACCATCTTATCATTTGTCGCCCCTTCTCCTCCTGCCATCAATCCTTCCCAACATGAGGGTCTTTTCCAACCAGTCGGCTCTTTGCATCAGGCGGAAAAATATTGGAGCTTCAGTTTTGGCATCAGTCCTTTCAATGAATATTCAGGATTTCTAAGAATAGAGACTGACAAAATTTATGCTCATACATAGCATTTGGCAATTAAATAATGGAGGTTGTATAGTCTGAACTTAAAAAAACATGGTGCAGAGCAGTACTGCAATGTGATCTCAATTCAGTTAAAAGCAAACACAATCTTTCATATATATATATATATGAAACACACACACACATATTTCTTATATAAGAAATAGAGATGGCTACCCACCAAACTGCTATGCAGATTATCCGCTGTGGCTGGGAAAGTAGGCTGGAAATGGAAATTCTTTTTTATTTTCAATTAAGTATGCACTCTCTTTGTATTAAGAAACAAAAAACAGGGACTTCCCTAGCGGTCCAGCTTTCGCTGCTGAGGGCCTGGGTTTGATTCCTGGCAGGGGCACTAATATCCCACAAGCTCACGGCCACAGACAAATAAATAAATAAAGTAAAAGAATGGAATTAATAGCCCAACTTACACACACACACACACACCAAAGGCCAATCCTCATTTCTTTTTTCCCTTTAAACAACACTAAACCGCAGGGCATGAGCAGAGCAGGGACCGCCCGCGTGGCCGTGACTCACCCAGACCCTCCTCCCGCCCCTGTGTCTCAGTCCGCCCGCGCCCCTGCCCTCCCGGGGCCACTGCAGGGGGTCCTCGGCCTCGCTGACCGGGCTCCACTCGCTGACCCCGCCTCCCTGCTCTCCTCCCCTTGCCCTGGTCCCCTGCTCTCCACTCAGATCCGCTGTGCTCCGGGGGCTCCGTCCCAGGGCCCCTGTTCTCCCTACACACGCAGTGCCCATCTGACCTGTGTCAGGCCTCA